TTTCCAGATTCGTAAAAGGTAAAGGGGAGGGGGCACAGAAAGGTTTTGATAAGTTAAGTGCAGGCTTGAGAAAGTTCTACACATTTTTCTTTTTCTAATTGTTTGCCCAAATCCACTGTTCTTAGGAGAAAGCCCGTGTCTCTAATGATTAACATTCTGGGTTGCGGGAAGTGTGCTTCATTAACAATATGTGGCTTGTATTCCTTTACACACTCATCTGTAACGTCAATATAAATAGTTTCTGTGATGAGTAACTAGGTTTCTGAGATAAGTCCTTCCTTTTATTACAGCTGATAACACAGGATTATAGGAAGCGGTATGGCTAACTAGCGAGAGGTTTTGATATATAATGGAAATTATACTCATTCAGTCCCCCTTCTGAGCTCCCCAGATGCCACCCTAAATTGTTTATTGACAGTATTCATACCTGGAGAATTTACCCAAAAGCAGTGGATTCTTTTTCTCCTCTTCCCACCACCCCCCACCCCATGTCGCCTATAACTCTGTTTTCCAAAGAAAAAATATCTTCAAAATTGCCAGCTTTTCTTATCTAGAGATAAGGATCAAGTCGGTCATCAAATTTACCCCATGCTTTTATTCATAGAGCTGCATAAAAACTTTGTCACCCAAAGCACCGTGAAGCTGCATACTCACCAATTTCAAGATAACATGAAATATGACATAATCAATTATGGAAAATAATGAAATGGAATGTTGGCATGGAAAGCCCCCTCGGAGAGTGTTAAAACAAGGAATCAATTGCTCAGGAGGAGTGTTAAAATTACAATCAGTCACGAAGTCTTTACGAAGGGCCAGCTGTGGGCCCGGACCTGCCAGCACATGTGGGAAGGGTCAGATGCATGTTTCTGGGGTGTTCATCGCGTGGGGCAAAGATGGTTGTTTATTCCACCAACACGGAAGGACTTGCTTGCTTCTCTTGTGGGCTAGGTAACAAAGATACACAGGTGAAAAGCAGAAACCGTGCAGAAGGGAAGGTAATTCAGTCATTTGTTTCTTGCCTTAACAAGCATTTATAAAATGCATCTTTTTTTTTTTTTTTTTTTTGTGCCTGGTGCTGTGGTACACATTGTGGGAGCTCCAGCTGCAGGTTCCACCGCTGTCCTCGAGGGGGGCAGACAGATTCACAAGCAATTACAGTACTTTGCAGAAACAGGGTGATGACAAAAAAGATCCTATGTTAGACACAAAGGAAGAGATGATGCCCCGAACAGTAGAAAATATAAAACCAAAAGTGAAATGCTAATTATGGAAAATAGATATGTTCACCTATTCTTGCAATTTCTGAAGCAGCAGAGGAACCAGGAAATATGCAGATTTTAAAAGCCTGTCTATCTTCTTACTGCGTCTGGACATAGGCAGCAGTGGGCAGAAGTGGGGATGAAAAAATATCCAGCCCCCCGCCTTAGTAAGAAACTTACAGAGGATGTGTGAAAACAAAACCTTTATTTCTTCCTTGGCAATTGGCCGGCACTCCTCTCTCTCTCTCTTTCTCTCTCTGTCTCTCTCTCTCACACACACACACATACATACACACACACACAGTTCGGCATAAAATCTGAAAATGATACACCCCATTCTTTTTCTGAACACGAGACAAAAATATATCTTTGTTTGGAAGTGTGTCTTCAACATCCCAAAAGAAAAGGTGGCCAGGAGAAGTCAGATTCTGACTTATGATTGGAACATGGCTTGATGCTGGAAAACTGTTATCATAGTATTTCTGTCCTGTTATATATGAAAATAAGGGACCATCATATACAAATGAAGAGGAAGAAACCCTTAATGAGATAGCTCCCAAACTTACACTTCTTTTCATTTTCACTCCCCCCTTTCTCCTTTTCTGTGTGGCCAGTGGATAATCTCTTGGCTCTTTCATCTTTCCAAAATGGGAACAATAAATGCACTTTGAGGAGTCTGTATTCCCCCATCCATTTTGAAATTATTTGCAACATTAACATGTATAATAATTGTTTCTGGGGAGACAATCTCAGAGGGGAGTATTTTAGGTTTCCCTGAAAAGAATGATAAATAACTAAAGCTTCAAAGCTCTCTCTCTCTCTCACACACACACACAGCCCAAAAACCAAAAAACTTACAGTGGAACCAAATTGTCATCACAGACTGATAAATTTGAAATAAGATGCTGTCATGTTTTTGCTGAAATGAGAGCATAATAAAACCCAGGAGAGCAAAGTATGCTTTGTTTTGAAATCATACCAAGCATCTGGCGAGACAGTTCCTGGAATGTGCCCTGGATGCTACAACATGTATGTTTTTGGGACATTTGGCCACTGCTCCTTGTGACAACAGTTTATGGAGAACATTTAGCTGGATCTACATCAACTGCTGCCCAAAGGCTGACTTGTCACACCACACAACACTGGAGATTTTTCTGTAGAGAAGAACATGACCTTCTACTGTCACTAAACCACCAAGTCATGTTTGGGTGAACATTGTCCCCCATGAGAGTCATTTTCACAAGGTAGGGACTGCGTTTGTCTTGCTCACCATTATATCCCAGGTCTGGCACTCAAACCCACCAAAGAATCAGCTATTAAAAAGATCGATTTATTTAATGAATGAAAATTTTTTAAAAGATTTATGAATTTTGTTTTTATTTATAGATTTTATTTATTTGAGAGAAATAGCATGCCATAGAGGCAGAGGGAAAGGGAAAAGCAGACTCCCTGCTGAGCAAGGAGTCTGACTCGGGGCTCAAACCCACAACCGAGGAGATCACGACCTGAGCGAAAACCAAGAGTCGGCCGCTTAACTGACTGAGCCACCAAGGTGCCCATGAATGAAATTCTTTTGGTCAGAACAGACTAACTGGTTCAAAGTATTTCTGATGGAGATGTTTGGGGATTTGTTTTCCTGATCACAGAGCCTGATTGTAGTTTTGTGTAGTTGCAATACTACTGCTTTTCTCCTTCTCCACAGAATCCATTTCCATCAGGCACGAGCCGTCTGTCTGATGTATTTTCATTTGTGTATTTTACACTTTACGAAGGGGATTTCCCATCCACTACCTTATTTCATCCTCACAAAAACTTTCTCATATATTTTTAGGTGAGAAAATAAGTCTTAGAGAATTACGTGGTCTGACTAAGCTCTCACAGCTGGAAAATATAGAACTGAGTCTTGAATCCTTCTTTTTTTTTTTTTTTAAAGATTTTATTTATTTATTTGAGAGAGAGAGAATGAGATAGAGCATGAGAGGGAGGAGGGTCAGAGGGAGAAGCAGACTCCCTGCTGAGCAGGGAGCCCGATGCAGGACTCGATCCTGGGACTCCAGGATCATGACCTGAGCCAAAGGCAGTCGCCCAACCAACTGAGCCACCCAGGCGTCCTTGAATCCTTCTTTGTACTATGAGTTCAGTGCTCCCTTGATCATGTTCACTATGTCCCGGAGTCATGGAAAGAAAGTTAGTCACAAGCTCTTATCAGTACTAATCAATGTATGAATGGAAACTTCCTTAGAATCAGCCAGCTATCCAGAGTTCCATTGAATGGCCACTTAAAAATGAATTTGTTAAAAGTAAGTCAAATTAATTTCATTTAGAAAATTCTAGCACCTCCTGATGTAATTTGGAGACAGCCTAGAGCTTGAGAGAGCGTTAGAGAATTTTTTAGGCAGCTCTCTGAGCCCTATTTTCTCATCTATAAATTTAATATAATGACACCAGTTCGGCTAACTTCGAAGGCATGTTCTGTCAATTAAATCTAAAGTAATACACAAAAGCTCTAAAAAAAAAAAACAAAACTACACAATGTATCAATGTCAGGTGTTACTTTTTTTTTTTTTAAGATTTTATTTATTTGACAGAGAGAGACACAGCGAGAGAGGGAACACAAGCAGGGGGAGTGGGAGAGGGAAGAGCAGGCTCCCCGCCGAACAGGGAGCCCAATGCGGGGCTCCATCCCAGGACCCTGGGATCATGACCTGAGCCGAAGGCAGACGCCCAACGACTGAGCCACCCAGGCGCCCCCAGGTGTTAGTTTTATAAGTTCACAGTGTGTGTCTAAATATGGCTACTGCATTTGGAAAAACCGGGGTCTTTGGCTGGTATATATTACAAAATGAAGAGCACACTGTCACAAGTAGCCATTGCAATGGGTCACTATGCTCTTCGCATTCAGACCGTGGATATGTGAACTGTCCGTGAAATAAGTATGGTTTTGTCATTGAAAAATGTCAGTGAAGAATTTCCCCTGGAGGACAAGGTGAAATAAGAATAAAATGCCCACTGTGACCCAGCACATTTCATTTTAATCCTCATGGCAGTCCTGTGAGGGAGGTAATGTTCTCGGTTCATTTTCCAGTTATGGAAACCGAAGTTTAGAGCGTTTTTGGGAAAATCATCCAAATCATAAAGCAAATGTAGATGAGCCTCAAGACCATGATTGGTGATTATTCCAATCAAAGTCGAGGACAGTTTGGACACGCACATCAGTTAATACTAATGCCAGATAAGGCAGTGTGTCTCTTTATCTTCCAAAGTCATTGTGCCGGCGTGCTAATTGTCTTTTAAAGAAATCTCGGTTTGGCAGCTTGCTAATATCTGTGTACTATTTTAGCTTTGGGTCAATGTATTAAATGCTAGATACATAAGCATAGGCTATTTGGGGCCATTCTAACGGGGTCTCGCGAGGACAGTGTGAGGCGCCTGGACCTCCCACAAGCAAACTCTACTAGCTCTGTTAACATTAGACAGACCGATCTAATGGAGGGCCTTTTCCTAGCAGCTCATTGATTATAAATACTACTCTTAAGTATTCATATGTGGCCTAAAAAGTATTTATCCAAATGAAAATAATGATTTTCAGGAGCAGCGATGTAAATTCTGAGCATTTGTGCCATGACGACCATTGGCAGAGACTTCTTGCTTATAGTGAGTTCTCTTATGTAGAAAATTAGGCAAAAATAAAAAATGTAGTGAATAACAGTGTCATTTTTTTTTTTTCTATTTCTTTTATAGGTTGATGACCAAATGAAGCTGCTTCAGAATTGCTGGAGTGAGCTCTTAATTCTCGACCACATTTACCGACAAGTGGTACATGGAAAGGAAGGATCCATCTTCCTGGTTACTGGGCAACAAGTGAGTATAGAGATCCCCCGCCCCCCCCAAAAATGTCTTTTTATTAAGCATGTTCAGAATGGCAGGAATTTAACTAGGTCAGAAGCACTCTGGTGCTTTGAAAGGGAAAGATTGGCTGCAAATAATTTAGAAAAGCTGACTTGGTGCACTCTGTTCCTACACCGATGATTACAGTTAAACTTGTAAAAGCAAAACATAATCACAAACATTCTGCTGCTTTCACTCTGCTGGGATTGAAAGTTGTGCTTTCAAGGGTCAAAACAACTGGTAAATCAGAATTAACGATTAGTACCCAGCATTTTTTCCTTAAGTTTCTGCATTAATCTACCACACTTGTTTTGTCAGCTATTTAAAAAGCTGATACATTGTGGAATCCTTACGATTTTGGCATCATAATGGTGGAAGAGACTGATTCAAATATCATATATAAACTAAATATTTGGCATAAAGGCAAGTGAGGGAAAAGGGACAGGGGTTCCAGTTTTCAAGAGCTAGCCATCATTGAAAAGGAAAATAGAAAAAATTACTGTTAGTTCCTACTTCTTTTTTTTTTTTTTTTAAAGATTTTATTTATTTGAGAGAGAATGAGAGAGGGAGCATGGGGGGGGCGGTCAGATGGAGAAGCAGACTCCCTGCTCAGCAGGTAGCCCAATACTGACCCAATACTGGACTCAATCCTGGGACTCCAGGATCATGACCTGAGCAGAAGGCAGTCGCTTAACCAACTGAGCCATTCAGGCGCTTCCCTACTACTTTCTGAATAGATATTTGCTTAGTCAACAGATACTTACTGAACATCAACAGTGTGCCAGCCACTATTCTAGGGCATTGGCATGCATTAGTGATCAACACAGAAAAAGACCCTATCCTCACAATGCTTAACATCATAGCAGGGAAAAGCTGACCATAATGAATCATCTTATAACAAACCTGTATATAAGAAATGTATAATGTAGGGCGCCTGGGTGGCTCAGTTGGTTAAGCGACTGCCTTCGGCTCAGGTCATGATCCTGGAGTCCCGGGATCGAGTCCCACATCGGGCTCCCTGCTCGGCAGGGAGTCTGCTTCTCCCTCTGACCCTCCCCCCTCTCATGTGCTCTCTGTCTCTCTCATTCTCTCTGTCTCAGATAAATAAATAAAATCTTTAAAAAAAAAAAAAGAAAGAAATGTATAATGTATTAGAAGTCAACGTGCTGTTGAATAAAAGAAGAAAAACAAACTGAGGGTTCTAGAGGGGAGGGGGGTGGGGGAATGGGTAAGCCTGGTGATGGGTATTAAAGAGGGCACGTTCTGCATGGAGCACTGGATGTTATACGCAAACAATGAATCATGGAACACTGCATCAAAAACTAATGATACAATGTATGGTGATTAACATAACATAATAAAAAAATAAAAAAATAAAAAATAAAACTACACACACACAAAAAAAAGAAAAGAGAACATGCTGTGCAAAGGGAAATGCACACATACCCTTGGGGGTAGTAGGTTGCATCGTGACCCAAGGATTTCCATGGTCAATAAGAGTAGTTGCTTTTGTCTTAGTGAGAAGGTGATGTTTTAGCAAACACTTGAAGGAGGAGAGATCGTTGTTGGCTTCATGGATATCTGGGGAACAGAAAGTATTCAATGGACCTAAGTCCAACTTTATAGGATTTTGGCATGTCCCTCCCAGTTCTTAGCCTTCATTCAATAACTGATGTGTTATTAAAATAAATGCACGGAACATAGTGATTCCATAAGTCCATTGGGTCATTCCTATTCAGGCATCACTCCAGCGTTCAGCAATGCTTCCATACTTCAGGACTAGGGCACCGTGATCTTTTACATCCACCCATAAATGTTTATGTGCTGTGAAACCACAGCAGTGCATATTTGAAAATGAAAGGCTGTCTCCACGCCATTTGCTGTATTATTAATAAATCACATTTTCCCAATCAAATTAAAGGCAAGCACTATTTCAGAGTTTTTGCAGATTGGATCAATTCAACCATCTCCATCACTATCTGGTCCCTGTTTTTCTGTACATCTCATGAGAAAAGCCTGCTAGACGAGAAAATAAAGTCTCATGGGCTTGACTTTCTGTACTTCCAAATTTTTGTTAAGCATCTTCATCCAGTGACCCAAGTCTCTGGAGGAAATGTACCCATTTCTAGAGTTTAATCACTGGGTATGCCTCCCAACCCTCTCTCCACCCCACCCCTGTTCCCCCGCCCAGCCCTACCCAACTAGGAACTGCATTAGAAGGAGCCTCAGCCCACAAATTAATTTGATTTCATTTCCTTCTGAATTTCAGAAATCAAATGGGTTTGTGCCGTTCTTTCTCAAAGCACTTCCATGCTTGCTCTTTAGAAATACTCCTTATTTCACATTTCATTTGGCCTTAAGTGCTGCCCCTGGGTAAAGGTAATTACCATTTAAAAAGTAGAGAAAGTGCATTTCTTGTCTCTCTGATTTTCAAAACCAAGAACAGTCAGAAATAGATGGTATTTATCATCTTTAGTATCAATTACTGCTACTTCATGTTTTGTCATCACAACAGAATACAGAACTCCCTGGTGGAGAACTAGTTCTTCCCTTTCATCTTTCCTGCCACCCAGAGTCTTCTAGCTCCCTCCTGCCCTCGTAAAGTGAGTCACCTTTCTGTCAAACCCCTCTCCTACCCCTTTCCATCCAATCCAATGGAGAGCCTCATAATGATTCATTATAACTGGACATTCTGATTTATGAAAATTGTGGAACAAACCTTGTATTTTCTATTGTGGAATAGGCTAGACAAAACATTTTGAATCTATCTCTGGGCTTCCTGCAATTCTTTTTTTTTTTTTTTTTTTTGAGGATCTAGTTGGCTTTATTAAGTGATTATGAATTGGGTAGCATTCCATCTAGCAAGTAAAGAAATGCTCCTGCAATTTCTTTCTTTTTTTCGGGGGGTGGGGGAGGAGGGGAAAGGAGGGAGGGAATCTTAAGAAGGCTCAATCTCCTGACCCTGAGATCATGACCTGAGCCTTAATCAAGAGTTGAAAGCTTAACCCCCTGAGCCACCCAGGTACCCCATCCCGCAATTTCTTAAATAAAAGCAAAAGAAGTGCTATGAAGGAAGACTTTTCCAAACAAAGCATGCAACCTTTCCAAGAGAATGAGAAAGATATTTTAATGTGGAGTCATAGACCTATTTTTACATCTCTCCAGCACCCATTTAGTGCTGAATATGTTAGGTGCATGATAAATATTAGCTCATGGTACCAAAGTAGAGCCACCCTATCGTAACCTAAGTGCTTAATTAAAACAAGTTAACTCGGACTCAACACCCAGAGTATGCATCCCCACCATGTTTCCACATCTCATCTATACCTTTTTATACCTTCCCATTTTCTGTGGTGGGGCTGAGACCCCAGCATTGGTCTGACTTTCAGAAGTTGCTTTTCACTGCAGTAGGCTCCCCAGCCTGAGATGCAGGGATATAGGTGAAAATATTAAGTAAAATTTTCTTAGGACAGTAAATACCTCCCTAGCTGCAAGTGTGGGAAAACCTAGATTTTTTTGTTAAAACAACAATAACAATAATAAATTATTTGGAGTATGCTAGTTTTTTTTTTTTTAAAGATTTTATTTATTTATTTGAGAGAGAGAGAATGAGAGAGAACACATGAGAGGGGGGAGGGTCAGAGGGAGAAGCAGACTCCCTGCCGAGCAGGGAGCCCGATGCGGGACTTGATCCCGGGACTCCAGGATCATGACCTGAGCCGAAGGCAGTCGCTTAACCACCTGAGCCACCCAGGCGCCCTGGAGTATGCTAGTTTTAAGAAGATTGTTAAAGTAATGCTGAATGGAAAGGAAAGACCATATGAAGACTTAAGAGTAGGGCAATATTCGGGGGGGGATGATTTTTTTTTTTAAGATTTTATTTATTCGAGAGAGAGAGAGTGGGGAGAGGAGCAGAGGGAGAGGGACAAGCAGACACTGAGCTCAGCGTGGAGCTAGATGTGGGGCTCGGTCTCAGGACCCCAAGACATGACCTGAGCTGAAACCAAGAGTAGGATGCCCAAGTGACTGAGCCACCCACACACCCTAGGGAGAACATGATTTTTAAAAGGAAAATGTATGGAGGGAGTTGAAGAAAGCAAAAAGAGAGAGAACTTCCTCTTTCTTAGTATATAGTCTAACAGCAGGGAAACTATGGATAGAGTATATTTTCATTACTAGTGCAGGCTGCTTGCTCTCTGGTATGAAAATTGTGTGTGTGTCTATTATACACGTTGGTCTAGTTTAGAATCGAATTGACCTGTGTTCGAGTTCCTATTCCAAACCTTACTAGCTATGCCGTCTTGGGCAACTCCCTTTACTGTTCAAGTTTCAGTGTCCTCACCTATCCAGTGGGGGTTGTAGAGGAATCTGCCTCAGAGAATTGCCATAGGAATTATAAGAAATAGTTCTGTAAAGTGCAGACATGAAAATTAGAAGCTATCAGAACTAATCTAACATGAAGCTGACATGTATGAAGTCAACAGTCCTATGAAGAAAGTACTATTTATTATTACTATCATCCCCATTTTACAGATGAGGAACTGAGACAAAGGGAGGTAAAATAATTGGTGCAAGGTCAAAATACAACTAATAAAAGCAGTAGAATGTTCCAGTCTAGGAAACCTGGTGCCAAAGTTCGTGTTTTGTTTTGTTTTTTTCTTTTGCGATTTTATTTATTTATTTTAGAGACAGAGAAAGAGTGAGGGGAGGAGCAGAGGGAGAGGGACAAGCAGACTCCAAGCTGAGCGCAGAGCCTGACACAGGGCTCGATCTCACAACCTGAGCTGAAATTAAGAGTCAGATGATCAATCAACTGAGCCACCCAGGCGCCCCATTGTTTTGTGTTCTTAACCAACATGCTATACTGCTTTTCTATATACCTCACAGACGCTACAGAGCTTGCTTTCACCATAGGCTCTCAATTGGGTCTTCATGTATAATTTCTGTGCATGGCAGCTTCTATGGAACTTCCA